TTCCCGCCACAGTCGCGGCCACCGCCATAGCCCAGTGACCAATAGCCCTGCCCCACCCTAACTTGACTCCTCAATAGTCTCCCAGTCCTAGCCACCAACTCCGCCATATCCGCCATCCCTAGTCACCCAATCGTTGCACATCAATCCACCCCTCTCAGCCCTAATTCACACCTCCCAGCCCCACTTTTGACATCCCAACTCAACCCCGACCACCCACCAATGAACCCTAGCCGCCGTCCTCCGCCAGATCTGGCCGCTTGTTGGTCTCCATTTATTGTCCTTCGATTCGAGTGTGTCTGAAGAATAGAGGAGGAGGAGAGTGACAGAAACGACAAGCAGAGGTGCAAAAGCGACGGCGAAGACAACATCGACGATGTCGGACAACGCAAGCGGTTCCGGCAAGAAAAAGTGCACCAGCGTCGGTGGCACAGTCTCATGACTTCGACCGCTCTGTCTCAGGAGTCAGGAGAGAAGCATGAAATCGATCTGGAGCGGAGAAGATGACTGCATAGACAAATCCATGTGCGAAGAGCTGGTCTCACGTAGGAGTAATTATAGCTTGTAAAATATGTACCATTGGTTATGTTAGTATACTTTCATGTTTAAATCCTGATAATATTGGGCAGTGAGTTTTTAATTAGGATAAAAGTGACATATAGTCCTATTTAGGAAAAAACTATGGTACTTTTTTTTTTGTAATAAGGGGGCTTAGATTGATAAAGCGGCATTCAGATAGGGGTTGAAATAACAAAAGAACCACATGTAACCGTCTACCCTTGAACCAGACTCAGAGTTAATCACCTTTGACAAAGCAATATAATTCATTCATCATAACTTGGGCATAATTAGTCAAAGACGATTACCGCAGACTTCTCATCACCCAATCCTAATGCAAGAGTCTTACAGCATAAAATAAAATAAAAACAAAAAACAAGAGTGTTAACGTGGAAATTAAAATGCAAAAACGCAATAAAATAAATACCATAACTAGTCTTCTTGAGCAGGATCACCAATTGCACAACCGGCGGGTCTAGAAGTCATGTCTCGCCGCCTCCCCATTTTTTGATTTGTCTAGAGACATGCTCTCACCAACTGGGACCTCTTTTGATTGTTCTTCCCAAATCCTTCTGTGTTTCGGATCCCCAGGAACCTCCTCGGTACCGCCTATCTCACCCTTCTTGGTCACACTGTTGCTTGTATCGGCTGAGGACTCACGCTGATCCGCCCCCCCTGCTCCTTCACCCTAGACCTGTTTTCCGTTGTAGTCTGGTAACCCCAGAGCTTGAAGAATTATCCACTAACCACCTATTAATCCCTGTAGGATTCCCTCCCTCCACCAGCACGAAGTTCAACCCCAAAAGTTTTTTCCAACACAATACCTTCCTCATATTTCAAGGGACAAAATTTATCAGAATGCCCAATCACTCCACAAATGAAACAAAAATTAGGGATTTTTTTATATTTAAAATCTATCCAATGTCCAATGCCCCATTTCTTTAGAGTAGATCCCCTTTTTAGAGGCTTCCCTACATCCATACACACCCTTATTCTCTTATAAGATTCCCACTTTTCATCAAACAGGTTCTTATCAAAACTAATAACCGTGCCAATATAGTTTCCAATTCTCCTAGCAGTGCCTTGATTCGTGAAACTATATGGTACATTATGGACCTATACCCAGAACTCAGTCTCACACAATTTCATCTTATGGGGTATTTCATCTGGCTGAACTTCCTTTAGGGGTATTAACATTCTCTCAAACAACCAAAGGCCATCCTCAAGCACACGATTCATATCCATAATATGATAGATACACCCTTACCCGAACCCCAGATTGAAGCCAAAAGGTCTTTGATGAAGACTTGAAACTTGATTCTCCGGTCCGTGAGCACAACTCCAACCACCGGGTATTCAACTCTTTTTTCGGATGCATCAATCTCCTCGACATCCTCATCATCAATATTTAGTTCGCTGTCATCTTCTTATAATTGTTCAGAATATCGTCCATCGAAAATCCCTCGGAACCATCCCTTAACCTCTGCCCTTGCAGGTCGAATAGAAACTGCCACGAACAAGGACCTTGCTCTAATCGGTTGCTATCACTCGACGAAACGGCCAACCAACAGCGAAGACCAAATGCCATCCTAGTGCGGCCGTTCTTCGTACGAGACGAAAACGGAAGAAGATCGACTCTAGCGGCTAATAAGCCCTAGAGAGAGAAAGCATACAATATTTCGGCTAGGGGTGGGCATAACGGTTTGGTTTAACCGAACCGAACCGTACCAAACCGAACTAAACCGAACCGAAACCGAACCGTATGCAATTTGGTTTTAGTTTGGTACTATTTCTTTCAAACCGTATTAAACCGAACCGAACCGAACCGAAACCGATAAAAACCAAACAAAACCGAACAAAACCGAACCGAACCGAACAACACACACACACACTTTGTATTTATCTTCACTCTTCATTTTAAGATATAAATAAAAAAATTTAGACATGAAAATGCATATTTAAGCATATACTCGTATTAGTTTAACTTTTACACATTTCAAACATTCATTATGACAAAGTTAGCTAATACGACATATTTGTATTTATTATGGTTGGCGATATCAATAGCAAATTGTATTTATATTTATATTTCTATTTCTGTGTGAGTCTTTGGTTTAGTTTGTTTCAATTGGTTTAGTAGGTGAAGGCAGGTTGTTTAAGCTAGGTTCTAGTATTTCATTTAGTTGGAATTTCAATTGGCAGGTTGTTTAAGCAGGTGAAGGCATGTTGTTCAATTGGTTTGGTGAAGGCTGGTTCTAGTATTTCATTTAGTTGGAATTTCAATGAAAACAAAACATTCAAAATTACTCATTTACTCAAAGTGGATTGTAACATATGAAACAAGACATAATCATTTTCAAGTTTATAAACCGAACATCAAACCGAACACCAAACCGAACCGAACCGAATTTTTCCCAAACCGAACCGAAACCAAACCGAAATTCTTTTGGTTTGAGTTTGGTACTATTTTCCTCAAACCGAATAAACCGAAACCGAACCGAAACCGATAAAAACCGAACCGTAAACCGATTCGCCCACCCCTAATTTCGGCAATTAATTACTTAAACAACTATGTTTTGAAATTCAAAATGTGTTTATTCCTATTCCGGGAATAATTATAAAAGTAATCAAGTAATTAAGGAAAATCCTGAAAGTGAAGTAAAACGTTTGAAAATTTCAAAATAGAAGTAATTACCGTCATATTTTTACACTATCCCGCTTAAAAAATAACAGTATTTTTCAAACTTCATAATAATTATTTCTATTTAAGAATAAGTGAATAACACATAGTACATCTTTTGGAATTTCCAAATATTTCTACTCCTATTTAGTCCAATTTTTTAATGAGAATATTACCCAAAATAGGACTAAAGAGGTTTGAAAATTCCAAAATAGGACTGCCATGTTTTTATTCCCAAAATAGGACTAATTATTGTCATGTTTTGGCAGTACCAGACTTCAAACATGGAAGTATTTTCCAAACTTATCAGTAATTACTCCTATTTTGGGAATAAAAAATATGATAGTCTTATTTTGGAATTTTCAAACTGTTTTATTCTTATTTCGGGAACTTTCCCTTTATTTAATTAATGAATGAGTCAATTACGCAAATAGGACTAAAAAGTGGTAAAATTGCACAAATAGGACTACATTGTTTAAATTCCCTTAATAGGACTATTTATGTGTGTTTGGACAAATATACCCTTGTAGCTTTTGAAATGTTTTAATTGATAATAAAATCATAAAAAAAATAATAAAAAATCGTAAAAAAAATAATAAAATCTTTAAAAAAAATAAAAAACAATTAATAAAATATTTATTAAAAAAGTAAAATTTAAAAATAAAAAATAAAAATAAAAAACGTAAAATTAAAAAAAAAACATTGTCACCCTTGCCACCCCCAGCACCACCAGCTCCCATCACTGGAGAAAGATCTGCCAACATTTTAAATAATGCCATAATGATGTCATATTCAATGAAAATGTTGGCATATTGAAGAGTAATTATGCCATCTTTTTTACATTTTCAGAAAAAGATGACATTTTTTACCAAAAGTGGAAGAAATTTCACCAATCGGAGGTGGTGGTGCTGGGAGGAGGTGGGAGGCGGTGGGAAAGGTATCCATAATTTTTTAAATTTTTTTGATGGTTTTTTACTATTTTATATTATTTCCTTTAAAAATATCAAAAAAAAAAAGAGTAAAATTTTTATTTTATAAATATTTATTAATTTTTTAATATTTTTTTTACGATTTTGAAATATTTTTTTACGATTTTTTATGATTTTGTTTTGAATAAAAGCATTTCATTATGAATTAATACCCTTAAGGGTATTTAGGGTAGAACATCAATGTTTCGTTCTATTTAGGAATTTAAAAAGTCTATTTGTTCTTCTTAGGAACTCATTAGTCCTATTTAGGACAATTTCCGTTAATAAATGGTTCAGAAACCAAATAATAATATATAAAAAAATAGATAAATAATACGTAATAAATAAATAATTAAGAATGCATAAATATAAAACTCACATCCAAAACTCATCAAATATCCTTCGGAAAAAAACTCATCAATTAATAAATATTGATCAACGTTGATGATGACCTTCGATCAATTTGTGTCGATCTAATGAGAGTAAGACACGTTCACACATCCATGATCCATAGCATGCATATAACTAATTGCATCCAATAAAATTAGAGCACACGGATCATGGTTTTCTATGAACACTAAATAAATATGCCCTAATTATTTTTTATACGGAGTATTCAATTTTAGTTCGTCCATTAAAACTTCACCGTATATTAATAATTCCGTAATTACTTATATATGTAATGTCCAAAAAGACCTATTAGTAGAGGAAACTTGGGGGGCAAGATTGTCCCCGCGCATGACCCATCCATCACTATAAATACACACATTCCCTCAATCCCTCATCCTATTTCCTCATTCAATCAAATTAAAACTCCCTGCCCCAAGGTACGTAGTTATATTTCCCCTAGTTAGTTCATAGAAAGTTTCATTTTTTAAACCGCCTTGTAATAATTATTTATTAAAATTAATATTTTGCCTGGATAAATGTTATTACGTACTACGTAATTATTTTTGAATTGCTTGAACGTGCAGCAGTTGTAGTTGAGTTTGGGCGTTGGGTTTTAATCGTTTTGTAACATATAGAACAGGAGGAATATAATATAGAATGGCTCGTACAAAGCAAACAGCCCGCAAGTCTACCGGCGGGAAAGCTCCGAGGAAGCAACTCAGTTTTGCTAGAAAGGCTGCCGTGAAACAAGCCCCGACCACCGGTGGGGTGAAGAAGCCGCACCGTTACCGCCCCGGAACTGTTGCTCTCCGGTAAGCCCAGTCGTTAAACTGAGTAAGAAGAGTAACTTTACTAAATGAAACATTACTCAGTGGCTAAATCACATGTACATTTTTTCCCGGCCCTATGTCTATTTTGTTGTGACTTAAACATCCTAGATTCATAGATATTATTAGGAAGTAATTCAAAGCTTTATGTAGTTAAGATTTATATATAGTGATTCATGATTAATTCTAATTAGGGATGTATGACATAAATGTGTACATAAATGAGTTAATTGATACGATATGATACTATTTATTTACGATACTATAGAACAACGAGGGTGACGAAATATATATTACGAATATGTTTGGGCAGGGAAATACGAAAGTACCAAAAGAGTACAGATTTGCTACTGAGGAAGCTGCCGTTCCAGAGGCTGGTGCGGGAAATAGCGCAGGACTTTAAGACGGACCTGAGGTTCCAAAGCCACACGGTTCTGGCTCTCCAGGAGGCTGCCGAATCCTACTTGGTCGGGTTATTCGAAGACACCAATCTCTGCGCCATTCACGCCAAGCGCGTCACCATCATGCCCAAAGACGTCCAGCTTGCCCGCCGTATCCGCGGCGAGCAGCCTCTTAAATCTTAGTTGATTTCCTTTTCTTTTTCATTAATCTTAATACGAAGTATTAGTTTATATAAGTAAGCTAGCCTCACCAGGCCGCCCCCACATGTATGTGACTTACATTCGAAGTACTCGTACAAGTTTGTTTTCGATTACTCAGTTAATTACTAGACTACTAATTACCTAGTTGATGACAAGAATTCAAGTTATCTTATTAATGATTGATTGATCCCTTTTTGTGCAAAGTTGATTGAGTTTCTTACCTTCGCCCCATTTATTATTGTTGTGGTTGGCTGGTTTGGCAATTCGGCACCCATGGACTTAAATCATACGAAGTATATTTTTTCCCTAAAATATGACTAGTTCACTCCATAATCACTCCTATTTGAAGAAACATCCTAATTGAAGAAATATTATCAATTTCTCTATTTGACAATTGCATTCTTGCGAATACTAATTATTTCAAACAATATTACTTCAACGATGGGGAGACATCGATCTACGGACTACGGTTATAAGAATTTTCATTGCATGCTTATATATGGTGTAAAAGTATATAACAGTCTTTTCCTTATTCACTATGTGTTTTTTACTTTTTAAACACACACACATAAATGACAAATGCGTAGTATATAGATTTATAATAATTATTAGTACCATGCATACACCACTAAAGGTCTACATGTTTTTGTCTCCATTTGGTACCGAGTTCACGGTTCCCCTCTTCCAAGGCCTATCGTGTCTATTTCGGGCCTATGGGCAAGATAATATTTTGCATTTATATTCAAGACAAATAATAAACTATATGTATTTAAAATAATAATTATAATAAACTTATCTAATAAATATCATTAAATAAAAATGAAAATCATTTTATAATTATTATTATTTTCATTACATACTTGGTGAAAAGTAACAACGTCCACAAGTATCACATAAAATAGTTTTTTCCAAAATAATGTGAAATAAAAAATTATTTACGAAATTAGGATCGAATTAAAACTATTTACCAAAATACTGTTGGAACAAACCTGAGTTAACCAAAGCCGCCAATTGGTTTGGCGACTTGTGCTCAAAGTCGTAACTCTCACGCGGAAGCAAGCAGAAGCAATCATAAAATTTTATTACTTTCATTTGACACCAATATTGAATATATAAAAATAAAAATAATTTCTACATATACGATGAGCGGAGGTTTTTAGGCTACAAACTTCTTTAATAAGTAGATCTATGTTCTAACATTAATTAAGATCTCATTATTCTTAGAGCCTGTTTTTTGGAGTGCCTGGGTAAACTTCTTATGATTGCTTCTGCTTAAAATCAGATTATAAATAATAATAAAAAAAGTTGTAACAATTTTTTAAAAAATGGAGATTTTTAAAGTTTGGGTCCAGTATTGACTTCCTATTGACTTCTCAACCATATGCTTGCTCCTGCTTGCTTCCGCGTGAGAGTTACGACTTTAAGCATAAGTCGCCAAACCAATTGACGACTTTTAAGAACCCAAGTTAATTCCAGCAGTATTTTGGTAAATACTTTTAACCCAACCATAATTCCGTAAATAATTTTTTATAGCGCATTATTTTGGAAAAAAACTCCACATAAAAAGAAAAACATTACTTAAAAATGTTTCTCACAGAATTTTAGAGATTCAATTTCTTAACAAAAACAAAACTTCCCATTGATCTCCCTTCTATCTTAACTTTGTCTTTTCTAATCTTCTTTTCTTTCTCTCTTTATCCCAACCTGATTCACCAATTTTATCATGAGAAATTTATTGATCACGGATGGATTGTTTAAAACCTTGAAAGAAGAAGTTTTTCGCTCAATCACGGTTGTTTGGGCTCCTCGATTGATTGGTTTAAATTCTTACCAAACCGCTGAGCCACTCACCGCTTCGTAACGTTCTTTACTCTGTTTGATATTGAAATTTGGGAACAACAAATCAATTTGGATGGGCTTTGCACTACAAAAAAACACGCGTGTAGTCACGGATGTAGTCACGGACTGCAGTGTAAAAAATCCGTGACTAACTCTGTTAGTCACGGATTTTTTCCGTGACTAAATCCGTGACTAAACGGGCGTGACTAAATGTAGTCACGGATTAGTCACGGCTCCGATTCCTGACTAATTATTGGCCGGGATATGATGTGTAGAAGAATGCGCCGAGTTAAACTATGTACGCAACTTATGGTGCCGAAAAGTGTTGAAGCATGGCGGAAAATCAGGGAGTTGATGGCTAGACCCCTTGAAAGCTTTGGAGACATTAAAGATGAGGAATCAGACTCAATCAGCGTGTCAAAAGGTAAAACTTTGTCTCGGATGATTTGTCGCGCACAAGAATGTTATTACTATGTGGAATCGATAAACGCAGAAGCTCAAAGAAAAATTAACGAGTTGTGGACTAGGCCTCTTGAAAGCTTTGACGATGATGAATAAATCTGTGTTTGTTTGTTTGCTTATGATAAATCAATAATATTTGTTAGTTGATTGTGATAAAAAAATGTGTGTTTTGTACTTATCTTTTAAATTTAATAAATAAATTCGTGTAAGTTGTTTATTTATGGATTTCCATGTTTTTTTATGATTTTGTATTTTCGAAGTATTTAAATTATTTTTGAATTTTCGAATTTATAATATGGATTATTATGGAAAATAGTTAAATTTGGATTATGGAGTATTAAATAAACTGTTTTTAATTTATTTAGGATATAATGAATAAGGAGTAATTATTTCACAATTAATAAGGATGAAGAAAAAAAATCAAATATTCTTGGAGTAATTATTTCACAAAATTGAAATTACAACTCACAATTAGTCGCTATCAGAATCGTCATTTTCTACATATACAGTATCTTCTTCTGTATCAGAACCGTGTATCCATTCTCCTTCTTCCTGATATTGAGCGTTTTGTTGTGCTTCATACATTTGAACAACTTCGCGCTCGGATGGAATGCTTAGGTCCGGAAGGTGTGTTTCTGGCATGACTTCAACACGTCCGCCATTTGGATCACTTAATTGGATGTTATAGTTGACCGTCTCAACAATAGGCGGAGGTTGGAAAAATTGTTGCTGAAAAGCATCTAAATCAACGTTCTTGTGTTGAGTTTGTGATATAATTTTGTTCGGACAGACAAGACATGCACACACCCAAGGATTCTGTGTCCACCTTGTTGAAGGATATTCTGCATCATAAATCTGCGCTGCTTGTTGGGCGAGTATGAAAAGCTCATTTTTCTCATGCACACGAGAGAGGTTGACGTCAATCATATTATACTTCGAATTTTTTTTCAAGCCACGTGTGGGATCGACCCATTTGCAGCGGAACAAAACGCATGTCAATTTTTGTGCACCAGAAGGCATTTCAAGTTCTAGAATCTCATGCAAGACATCAAAAAAATTGGTTTCCGAGTTATCATAACCGATGGTCGGGACACATAACCCGATGTTCGTTGTTGGTCGGCCTTGTCCGTAATCGGCTGTGTGATATGTGTAACCGTTTATCACATATGACCGCCACACTTTGGCACTGGCACTTGGGCCCCACGCTAATGATACTAACAAAGGGTCGACAATCCCACGACTTATGATCTGTAAATATAAACATGATAATAACATTAGGTAAATATTGAAAAATCTTACTTAATAATATATATAATTAATGTGTATATATATACCTGATGCTTGTACCACGGTATGAAATTAGAGTCCACCATTGCATCAATTTCATTCTCAGAAAAGGCTGAGAAAGAAGCTCTAAATTCACCGTGAAGTCAAAAATGAAAATATGTTAAATTAACTACAAATTTATAAGTATTACAAATATAACTACAAATTTAACTTACTGATAAAACGGTAAGATTTCTGGACAATTCTTGAGGATATAAGTATGCGCAATTTGTAATTCCCCACCCAGGATGTATCGGTGTGTCGCAACTCCTTTACCTCTACCTGGGTAATTGAAGATGGAAACTACATTTTCATATAAATCCTCGCCAATGTCATCGTTCTGGGCAGGTCTCTTCCTTCTGGTGATGACGTGACGCTCGAATTAAAAAGACGAGAACGTTGAGATTTCTTGTTGAAGATACGTTTGACAAATTGAAGCCTGAACGTGTGCCTTGTTGGTCACTTTCTTTTTCAACTCTCCTAGAAATCTGCAATGTAAAATAAAAGTGGTAAACAGATTACAGTTTTTGTGAAATAAATATTTACTTTTTAAATGAAATTGTGACTAACCTTTCAAATCTGTACATCTAGCGATAGAAGACGGACTCAGCAGTCTCAGCCTCATACGGAAGATGTATTATAAGATGTTCCATTCCATCGAAAAATGATGGAGGCATTATCTTTTCCAGATTACACATCTGAATGGGAACAGACTCTTGTAGTCTCCGGAGGGATGTCGCATCCAAAACGCTGGAACATATCGACTGAAACAACAAACTGATTTCAGTAATGCAGGACCATACATGTTCAGGGAGCATCTCTTTCAGTGCAATTGGTAGAAGTCTTTGCATGATTACATGAGCATCGTGAGTTTTCATGCTCGACGTCGTGGTAAATTTGTTCATGTTCACGCATCTAGACAAGTTGGAGCAGTAGCCATCTGGAAACTTCAGAGACACAAGCCATTGCAATATTGCTGCCTTTTGTGCTTCTGTGACCTAGTAGACTGCTTTTGGAACTTCCTTGCCCTGATATTCTAGATCAACAGAAAGTTCGGGTCTATCACACCAAATAGTCATATCTTCCCTAGATGCAAGACCATCTTTAGTTTTGCCTTTGAAATCCATCACTGTGTTAAATATATTGTCGAAGACGTTCTTCTCAGTGTGCATGACATCTAAATTGTGACGAATGAGACGGTCTTTCCAATATGGCAACTCCCAGAATATACTCCTCTTTGTCCACTTATGGGTATCACAATACCCATATGGCTCCTGATTTGGCTCTTGCATAGCCGTAGGAATACGTCGAACCCGGTTAAAAATTTCTTCGCCGATCAATCTCGGGGGTGGGCTGTCTCGTACCACTCTGCCTCTAATGAAAGACTTCTTTTCCTTTCGATATCGGTGCCTTTCCGGGAGAAACTTGCGGTGACAATCAAAGTAACTTCCTTTTTTACTGTAAGTGAGCCAGTTGGCACCTGATTTCTCCATGCATATCGGACATCCCATCATACCGTGTGTGCTCCATCCTGAAAGCATGCCATAGGCAGGGAAGTCGCTAATGGTCCAA